TCTCTCTCTGCACATTCATCTTATGTTATGCTCCAGCCACAGGCTATCTTGAATTCCATCAACCTACCAGTCTGTTTCAGACTTTCCTTTTCTGTTTGCTGAAGTTGCTCTGCCTGGCTGCAATCCCCTTCTCATCTCACTGGTGAACATGAGGGTCAGGACTAGGGCAATGCTCAGGGATGTGGTGACAAACGAGTATGTGTTATGTACTATGTCCCAGCAAACTGTGTATACCCATGGAGGCAGTCTTTGAAAAGACATACATGTTTCCCAAGAGATCATCATTTCTCTACGGAACACAACCCTTACTCTCTGAGAATTCACTTATATTTTCTGTGAACTGCAGTTCACTTCCTCCTATTTCTCTATAAATGCATTAATTTGAGATATAATATGACCCCTTAATGTCAGCTCCTAAGTTCACAGAAAATCCTCAGTTATATTCTAATTTACTTAATACTGTAAAACTCACATCCTCATAAACAATACAAAAATAAATAGAACAAGACTGCTTTAATTGGGGTGCAGTTAAGGACAAAGTACCTCTTGGGATATGTGTTGTCACTGCTTGAAATAAGATGGACATATCTCAATCTCCTAAAATACAAGTAATTTAATTAACATTCTGTTTTCACTGTGGGTCTACCGCAGCCAAACTAATGAAAAGTCACTAAGGGCTGGCAGTGCAAGTGATATCGCCTCAGAAACCCAAGGAAGGATCACTATGAGTTGGGTCCGACTCAATGGCACACAATAAGATGAAGCAAATTTCAACCCATGAAATCTATTACCTTTGAGTATATGGACAATTCAAACTAGGCCAAAAACATATTTACCAGTAAAGGCATGTTATGGGTTGAATTATGTCACCCCAAAATAAATTCTAACCTCTAGGCCTGTGGTTATAGTCCCATTTGGAAATAGTTGTCTTTATTATGTAAATAAGGCAAGATTAACATATCTGGAGTCAATCTCTTTTAAGATATAAGAAGAAATTAAATAATCGATCAGAGAGAGATTTGGTAAGAAAGATGCCAGGACAAAGGAGAGCTCCAAAGGAAGGACCTTCATCCAGAGCTGACAGAGATAGAAAGCCTTCCCCTAGAGCCTGTACTCTGAATTTGGACTTCTACCCTCCTAAACTGTGAGAAAATAAATTTCTGTTTTTTAAAGGCATACCTTTGTGGTATTTATGTTATAGTAGCACTAGATAACTAAGAATTCCATACCAAAAGAGCATGGTGCTGCTCTAACAGATAACTAAAATGTGGAAACTGTTCTGGAATCAGGTTATGGGTAGAGACTGGAAGAGTTTTAAGGTGCCTAATAGTAAAAGTGGGCTTTTGGGAGGGCCAGAACTGGTAGGGAAGGCCAAGAGGTGATGGCAGATGGCTTTTAGAGGGATGGAACTGGTAGAGAAGGCCAGGAAGTGGGAGTGGAGCAGTTTGGATCAGCTAAGGGAGACAAACTCATCTGTCAGTTTGTCATCCTGTGGTGGCTTGTGTTTTTCTCTCAGGCTGTGCCACTAGTGTTTCAAGTGCCAATAGAGTTAGCCATGGTGGACAGGTTTCAGCAGAGCTTCCAGCCTAAGACAGACCCAGAAGAAGGAAGAGGCTATCCACTTGTCAAAGAATTGGCCAGTGAAAGCCTTATAAATAATGGTGAAATACTGTCTGATATATTCCTGAAAAATAACCATGAAACATTGTCTGATATAGTGCCAGAGGATGAGCCCCTTAGGTCAGAAGGCACTCAAAATATGATTAGGAAAGACCTGCCTCTTCAGAATACAGCCAACCTTGATGATGTAGATGGAGTAAAGCTTTCAGGACTTCCTTTTGCTCATGTGGCACAACTCAAGAAGAAACAGCTGCAAATATCCATTAATAATCAGAACATGGAGTGTACAAAATATGAATCTAGGAAAATTGGAAGTTGTCAAAAAGGAAATGGAATGCATAAAGATCAATATCCTACGCATTAGCGAGCTGAAATGGACCAGTTTTCCCCATTTTGAATCAGACAACCATGTGATCTATTATGCCAGGAATGACAAATTGAAGAGGAATGGAGTGGCATTCATCATCACAAAGAATGTTTTAACATAAATCCTGAAGTACAATGCTGTCAGTGACAGGATAATATCCATATGCCTACAAGGAAGACCAGTTAATATTACTATTATTCAAATTTACACACCAACCATCAAAGCCAAACTGAAGATTTTTACCAACTTCTGCAGTCTGAAATTGACCAAATATGAAATCAGGATGTGTTAATTATCACTAGAGATTGGAATGCAAAAGTTGGAAACACAGAAGAATCAGGAGTAGTTGGAAAATATAGTCTTGATGATAGAAATGATGCTGAAGATCGCATGATAGAATTTTTCAAGATCAACAACTTATTCATTGCAAATACCTTTTTTTCAACAACACAAATGGTGACTACACACATGGACTTCACTAGATGGAGTACACAGAAATCAGACTGACTACATTGGTGACAAGAGGCAATGGAGAAGCTCAATATCTTCAGCCAAAACAAGACCAGGAGCTGACTATGAAACAGACCATTAATTGCTCATATGCAAGTTAAAGTTAAAGTTAAAGACAATTAAAACAACTCCACAAAAGCCAAAATATGACCTTGATATTATTCCTCCTGAACTTAGAGACCATATAAAGAATAGATTTGATGCATTGAACACCAATGACTAAAAACCAGAATTGTGGGATGACATCAAGAACATCACCCATGAAGAAAGCAAAAGGTCATTAAAAAGACAGGAAAGGAAGAAAAGACCAAAGTGGATCTCAGAAGAGACTCTGAAACTTGCCCTGGAATGGAGAGTAGCCATAGCAAATGGAAGAATCAACAAGATAAAAGAGCTGAACACAAGATTTCAATCAAGAAGACCAAGTCAATTATTATATGAAATGTGAAGAGACTTGGAGTTAGAAAAACAAAAGGGAAGAACACACTTGGCACTTCTCAAGCTGAAAGAACTGAGGAAAAAATTGAAGTCTCAAATTGCTGTATTGATAGATTCCATGGGCAATGTGTTGAATGACGCAGGAAACATCAAAAGAAGATGGATGGAATACAGAGTCACTATACCAAAAAGAATTCGTAGATTATCATCCATTTCAGGAGGTGGCACATGATCAAGAACCAATAGTATTGAAGGAAGAAGTCAAAGCTTCACTGAAGGAATTGGTGAAAAACAAGGCTCCAGGAATTGATGGAATACCCATTGAGATGTTTCAACAAATGGATGCCCCACTGGAGGCACTCACGTGGCTATGCCACAAGATTTGGAAGACAGCAACTTGGCCAACTGAGTGGAAGAGATCCGTATTTGTACCCATTCCAAAGAAAGGTGATCCCACAGATTGTGGAAATTATCCAACAATATCATTGATATCACACACAAGTAAAATCTTAACTGAAGATAATTCAAAAATGGTTGCAGCAGTATATTCACAGAGAACTTCCAGAAATGCAACCTGGATTCAGAAGGGGACATGGAATGAGGGACATCATAGCTGATGTCAGGTGGATCTTGGTTCAAAGCAAGGAATACCAGAAAGATGTTTACTTGTGTTTTATTGACTATACAAAGGCATTCGATTGTGTGGATCATAACAAATTATGGGTAACAGTGAGAAGAATGGGAATTCCAGAACACTTAATTATACTCATGAGGAACCTGTACATAGACCAGGAGGCTATCATTCAAACACAACAAGGGGATACTGCCTGGTTTAAAATCAGGAAGGGAGTGTGTCAGGGTGCATCCTGTCACCATACTAATTCAACTTGTATGCTGAGTATATAATCTGAGAAGTTGGACTATATGAAGAAGAATATGGAGTCCAGATTGGAGGAAGGCTTAATAACAACCTGCAATATACAGACAACACAACTTTTCTTGCTGAAAGTGAGGATAACTTGGAGCACTTACTGATAAAAATTAAAGACTACAGTCTACAGTATAGATTACACCTCAACATAAAGAAAACAAAAATCCTCACAACTGGACCAACAAGCAGCATCATGATAGATGGAGAAAAGATTG